TGAAACCGTTAAAGAAATACATGAAATTGGAAATTTATTGCAATAATGATAGATTGCATAATTGTAATAATAAAACTTCCGTGCAAAGAAACTTTTTTTGTTCGAGTAATAATCTCAAGTTCCAGGTCACGTGTCGCGTGATTGTAGGATAATCCTTTTAAATCGATTGACCACTCAAGAAATGAAAAGAGTTCGTCATTAGAACAACCTTTTGTCTGTATTCCTTTTTTATTTTACAACTGCAGTGTTCCGGTGCAGGCTATCTTTTTTAACCTCGACCTTTGAGATTTATTCTATGATTAATTTATATAAATTAATAATAACTTACTCAGTAAAATATACAACAGTTCATTAATGCATTCACGCTTCGTAAATTACTTTTTAAACGACAAATCTACATGGAACAATCGATTTTACTAACAATCCTGTTGGTTTTATTTCTCTCAAGATACTTTATTTTCCTAGCCGTCTCTCACTTCCGGTGCATTGCCCTCTAGACTTTTGTATCGTTTAGAGTTTGCAAAACCTTCTTACCAGGGTCATATGTAGTCAAATACACATCCGATTCGTCGAGAATTCTTACAACAACTTTTACACATAAAATATCTGATAAATATTGGAAAAACAGTAGTTTCACACTAGTATGGTCAGACACGGTATTTCCAATAATAAAGTTACTGGTAAAATTTAATTAACTTTCAAAATACAGTTCAATATTAACTCAACACTTTAATGATATAAACCATTCAAACTGCTTTTATAAAAGTGATTAAAATGTTTCTACAAAGATTTCACTAATTAAAATGATCTTGTATAATTGTCTGATAAGATTTGTCTAGTGCAAATATAAATCCAATCAATGAGTCACACTTGTTCAGAGAAACATTTAAATGCAAATCATGGTTTCGCGGTTAATCGACTGGCGAGTGAGGTTTACATATTCATGTACTATGCGTCCTTCGACGGTGACGTTCAAACGTCGAGTGTCGCCCTCGTCGCACTTTCTTTACTACCTGGATAGTAGGCGTCGGCGTCGACGTGGTGTCAGTGAACTGAAGGAGCGGATCAGGCTCCTGCTCCCTATTGTATGCGCGCAGCTCCCTGAACTTGTTGCTTGTAGTGTTGCCTAGAGCTTTGTTTTGTAGTTTTCTCTTTTATACCTTAGTCAGCTAGTATAGTTGTATGAAAACCCACCTTCCGATTGGTTGTAATGTTCCAAAGGGGACAGCCCTCCTCACTGCATTGGATCACTTCCGGAATGGCCGGCAAAAGTGCACTCAAGTTGAAGTATTGCTATGAGTTTAAAAAATTATTATGACTCATATAAAATTCAAGAAAATAGGCATCAGAATTTGCTATTGTATGACAACATCTTATATTTTTCATGTTAATTTCTTAAAGCCAAACTAACAAATCACATGTATTCGATTCGATTAAGACAATAAGAGATTAAATCTACCCTCCTAAAAAAACGCATGATGTTTAACTTATATCATAACTTTTACGTATTATTGAAAAAGTGAATAACAAACTGAATTATTCAAGGTGATGTGAATGAATATTTTTAATTTTTTATTGGATCTAATGATTAATAAAATTTCGTCACGTATAAAATCATGTTTTATAAAAGTAGGAAAAAAATTATTAAGTAAAAATTATCAGTTTCAATAGACTAGGAATATGTCAATTGATTCATTCATTTTTCCCGTAAAATTTTCTTAACTCATGTATTGATTTTCATAAAACATTACCTTATTTGAAATAAGCTTTATGTAATAAAAATCAAGTAATTTATTAAAAGAAATCAGTACTATCTATTAGTTATCAGTGCTAGATTTACCACTTAATCAATCAATAATAGTGTTGACATAAAAGTTAGTTTCCGATTTTTATTCATTTTTATTGATTCACTTTCAAAAAGTACTTGATCTTTATTACATAAAAATAAAATAATTGTGTTTGTAATGAATGGACAGTTCATGGGTTAAGTTAATATGTATTATCACTTAGATTTTTTTATAATTTCATTCCATGAAATGATCATAATCATATTACTTCTAAAAATATCAATCATTCCAGATTAAAAAACCTTAAAATTTACTATCAACGATTTTAATATTCGCCCACCAGTAATTAATTTTCTCCTTTGATATTTTAATTATATTCAAATAAAATGAGTGATTATGTTTTAGAATAAAACGATATTCACAGTTGAAAATTCACCGTTTGAAAAATCAAATTAACTTGATACTACAATTTTTAAATAATATAATTGAAATTATTTAATATTTTTACTTATATTAAATACATAGAGGAGAAGGTAGGTTTATGGGTCATTATTTTTTTTTACTCTGTGACACATTACTAATCGTCACTTTCCGAAGTTTTTGTTCATTGTTAAAAAGTTAATTTTTAATATATCTTTGCGTTAGCTGATGAGAGATCATGCTTGCAAAATAAACGAATGGACCACATTAAAAACTGGACCATAGTTCCACCTTCTCCTCTAATAATTTAAAATCATTCTAGTAATTTTCCAATAAAAAAACCTTTTCTTCCTACGACATATAATGAAGGATTATAAAATGATTATTTGATTTTACCATTGCTCACGAATAATATCGAACAAGTAAATTTCAAATTATTGAATACTTTCACTAAGACATAATTTTTAAATAATACTAGTGAAAATGTTATACAATTAATATTTTTATGTCGAAAATCTCTCTGAATATTTAAAACTTTATCTTAAACAAAATTGATTAATGATTGATATTACATTAAACAATCCTATGTAATCAATTACAATCTTTTTATTTATAAATATGTGTTCTTATAAAAAGTATTTACGTCTGAAGTAAAAATATTTTCAATAATAATGATGTGTAAAATCCAATATTAAAATAGCGGATAATAAAACATTTAAATTATGTTTGACTAATGATAAACCATTACTACTGAACATTAATAACACGAAATTGATAAAGTAATATAATGAAAAAATATGTTGAATTTTATTTACATCATATTTCATTATGTAATTACCTTCTAAAGATTAATCTTCTTTAATTACTCTATAGATTTGATCATTTCTCTTAATTTTTTAAATATGAATAACAAATTAAAACGTCGAAAATATTCATATTAAATATTTTAAATATAAATAATGCATCAAGTTAAAAAATCGACCTATTATACTTATATAAGAACCACAAAAGTGGATTTTAAAAAGCCTTCTCAGTGGGTCACAGTGCATGACTTTAAACGATTTCATCGTTCACGCAACAACTACGACTTGGGCTGGTCAACTTAGTTGAGCACGAATATCTTCTTCGCCAAGGAGAAGGACAGATTTATAATCGTCAAATCTCACTTTACATCATCTTAGAGTCAATTTAATAGTCACGAAAGCTTCAATATTTATTCAAGATTATGTACATATATATAAAAAAGTGTGACATAGGAAGCTATTTTTTAAGAATTGTTGATTGATTCAGTGGTCTATTTTATTTATAAGCTTTTATACGAATGCGAATGTAACTTGATAGAGATCTGCATTTGTAAAAAATTAATGAGAATTAATTGATTGTTTTTATGCCACTTTGAATTCTTAATCGATCCACTAGCTTATGGAATTCAAAGAAAGCTTGTAATCAAAAAAATATTTAATTTATAATAACTCAGAAACTAATATATATTTTTAACTTTAACATTAAAACTGAAAGTTTTGAATTTCAATCTTATAAAGAACGGCAATTTTATTTTTAATAAGTCGAAGTAAACTTTATCGGTCACTCAATGTTTAAGAAAACCTTGCTTATGCTTAATATAATAACGTGATTATCAAAATCTAAGGGTAAAGAACGGCCATAATACAAAGCGTGAGATAACTGATAATTCCTTAGAAAATTAGACTTATAAATGTATCATAGGGTAGAAAGCGTATAGAAAGCATCTGAATAGCATTAGAAATTGTAAGCCGAATTTTAAGTCACGCACTTAACTTCCGCTATTCTAATCAAGTCTCTTTCGTATCTATTATTTTATCTAATCATGATATTGATGTAGAATTATTAATAAAGAAAACCCTAAAAAGTTATACTTTTTTTTATTATATTATTATATGAGTGTCAATTGTTTATAACGTTGCTGATTATAAAAATGTATGGTATTAGTGTTTTGAGTATAGTTGTAGAACTTTTTTAATTTATAGTTTTTATAACAAAATTCATATATTTTTTTTTTCTTATTACAATGCCACTGAATATTTGAAGAATATAATTTTTTTATCTTCAGTAATTTGAATGACTTTTTGACGTGTTAAATATCATTAAGGGGATAAATGTTTTTTTCTGTTAAATATTTGTAAGTGTTATGACTACACGAGATTCATCTAATGTATAACTATAGTTAAAACATGAATAATTTCCATATTACAGTGACTGGTTAATGGATTATTTTACTTGTAATTAAATAAATGTTTAAAAAAGTTATCCACTAATCTTGTATTGACCTACTCCTCGAAAAATTCATTAGCATATCATGGTTTAAAAATATGTATCTTTAAACATAAATATAGTATAAAAAATATAAAGCATTCTTTGATAAACTATAAAATTACCTCGTTGATAAATTCCATTGGATGAGTCTTACGGTCAAGTGCATGTGCTCAGCTCATAAATTTTGTAGCTTGACGACAATTAAATTGACCTAAGATTTTAAATTGATAATAACATAGATTAAATATACACAAAGTTGACCCACTTATGATAAATCTTAAGATTTTTTCATTTCTGAAAATTTAAAATCATTTCTATAATTACATTATCATGCTAATAATCTTTAAAAACATTAATAAATTATTATCATTATTATGTAATGAAATATTATTTTTTTATACGTAGATGATAAATGTATCTAAACAACGTAAAAAATATATCATTAATAGTTATTACAGAAGAGAATTGAAAAAATTTTTTTCATTCTATGTATAAGATAATATATTATTATTCTGCTTTGTTTAATTTTTTTTTTTTTTTTTCAATAATAAAGTTTATAATTTTTTATTGATAGTAATATGTATTTTAAATCTCGAAAAATTGATAATATATTTTGTCATGACGCCAAAAACACGACAAAAATTTCTACAATAATTTGTTATAATTTTTGTTCTTTACTTTAGGAGGCACATTGTTCTGGCTTTCCATATTTTAATCCTATTTTATTTATTTTTGCTTCTATTAAAGTCGTTTTTGTTTTTAGGGATTGTTTTTCTACTATATTCGTCGTCATTAACTGAATGTTGTCTCTTTTTTTTCTGTAATTTGTTGTCTTTTGTATTATTTCCATCTGAAGTTTCTTCATGCTCCATAACTATCGATCTTTCTGCCTGACCTTTTTATTTCTACAGTTTGATATTCATTTTCAAATTGTTTTTTTTTTTTTCTTTTTTTTCATTTTATAGCCATTATCAGTATCAGTCTGTAAGTTTTCATTTAATTCTTCAATTCTTTTTCTTTTGTCATTAGTTTTTATGTTCTTCTTGTTTAATTTTTCATCTGTCGTTGCTTTCATGGGAATAATCTCGATCATGCTACTTTTCTCTTCTTTATTGTTGTAATTTTTTTTAGGTTCACTGTCATCAATGAACTTTAGTTTCAATTTGTTTTCATTATTTTTCTTCGACTGGTTACTAAAACATTTATCAATATCTAGCTGATGCTGATGGTTTTCCAAAATTACTTTATGTTTTTTGAATTCAGGAACTGGTATATCGAAGTTTCTTTCAAAGATAGCGACGAAAAATCCACTTGTTAAATCCTCATCAGATTTAGCATATAAACAGTTGTTTTTACAATTAAATTCCATAGAACTATAATTGTTCCATTTATTATGTAATAATTTTGTTATTGGTACCAATTGCCATGAATTCTTAACTCCAGCAAGAATTTCATCTATCACCATTTCATTTTCTTCAGGATAAATAGAACACGTGCTATAAACAACTTTTTTAGCTTTGGGAAAATTTGATAGTGCGTGTTTAAGCATAAATACTTGGAACGATTGTAAGCTCTTTAAACGATTTGGATCACATTTTCTATCATTTTGATCAAATTCAGGTCGATCCATGCCTGACCCTGAGCAACTAGGATCAACTAAAATAAACTCAACATCAGGACAACGTTTTGAGTCTACGTAAGATGCATTCTCATGAATCGTTTCTACAATATGAGCCTTTGTTAATTCAATGAACTGACATAATGTTTCATATCTTCTATTATTTTTTTCAATTGCATAAATTTTTCTGTAAAATATTAAAATTTTATTAAAATTGAAAATAAAAATAAATTTTTAAAGTCAAATAAATACCCTTCATTCTTCATAATAGCCGCTAAATGAGTTGTTTTCATTCCTGGTGCAGCACAGGTGTCAAGAACAACTGATCCTGGTGTTGGATTTAGTAAAAAAGATGGCAAACAGCTTGCCTGCACATTTATACATGCATATTGATCTTGATTTTCAATGAAGATATATTTGAAAAATTATAATGTAGAGGACTCACTTTATCCTGAAGTAAAATAGCACCAGTATGATATCCAGAATGATCATGAAATGTGGTGCCAGGAGCAAAAGCAATTAATTCTGGAATATGAAAATCTTGAATAAATTCCCAAGTACCCAAATTGTCCAATGATTTGAGATAAGTGTTATAATTGTTGGATCGAGGTAATTGTATATATCCATCTTCTTTGAATCCGTGAATTGCTTCATCAATATTTAATATTAATGTATTTATACGAACAAATCTTGGCTTTTTCACTGAAATAAAACAATTAATTTTAGTTTTATAGATAGTTTATTTTTAATTTTTTAATAAAAATGCATTACATGAACTTGTCAGTTTATTGTTCTTATAATAATTAATGAAAAAAGTTGTACAAAAAACACAACTTAATTAATGGAATAATAGATTTCAAAAAATTAGTTTATTAACATAAAACAATTAAATCTGCTATTTTATTCAGCTTTAGGATGATCACTATCTGTTATCTGTTGATCAGTTGAATCTGTTGGTTTTGGATCATCAGATTCTTTAAAAGCTTTATATACATAAGAAGCAATAATTAAATTTATCATTATTACAGCTGCTAAAACTGAGATCGATGTTACAGCAAAATTATCTAAGTCAGAATAAGTTCTTAAAAGGTGTTCAACACCAAAATAAGTAGCCACTGGCAAAGTGAGCATCGCAAAGGTGTAAAGAAGTAAAGTTCCTAGAACTGAAGTTGAACTCATATTGGCTTTGTCAAAAGAAACTTGTAAATTAGGCTTTTTCTCAAAGTAAAATCGAGTTAATTTGGGCCTGAGTCTTGTCTGAATATGTTTATTTCCGATAATCAAAACCATGAAGTATTTAACAGCTTAGCAATATCCTCTTCAAAGCATGCATATACTCTGAAAAAAATAAGAATTTATATTACAAAGTTTATAAATTACCTCTTTTATTAGTGAATGAATCCGATGAAGTCTGATTTATTTTATTTAATTCTTCTCTGAGTAGACTCTCATAATTTTGAATCGTTAAAACAGGCTTAGCATTTGATTTTAAAGATTGTTTCCCCCAAAATAATTCGCTAATAAGAATTCTGGCTAGCCATGGGTCCAATCGACTTTCTTTGGACAATATTTGAGTGTTCCTAATTATTTCTTCCAATTGTGATGCATGTTGGAGAGTAATTGCAGTCAAAGCATAAAGTGCTTTTACGTTCTGTATAATTGAATGATACGTTCAATAAAATACTATTTATTAATTTAATTTATGACCATTACTTGATATTTTTGACATAAATTTGTAAGAAAAATACATAATTATTGTAACAGTAATGATAAATCACGTGCTAGTGTACATAACCTTACCAAATGTTTTTGATCGTAAATTAACTGTTTTAAACTTGCTGCGTCTTCAGTGACTTGTTTAACAATATTTGCAGCTGTCTTATAAATTCTTGGAACTTTAACAGAATGAATAAAACCTCCAGACATTATTTCATTGTATTTATAAATAATAATAACACGGAATAACAAATATTTTCTTTCGTCTTATTACCAGAATGACAAAGTTCCTTTCTACTGTGGAAAGGTTTGTAACATTTGGAGTAAAATTGGGTGAGGCAAATAAGATACAGATTCCTTCGTTAGTAGTTGATGGTACAAAGATTCCGTTTTTTAATAAAAACACATTTAAACAATGTACTTGAATGTATATAATTTATTTTCTAATATGAAAAATAATAGTAGAAAATTATTTATTCTATAATTTAAATGAATATTACAAATTTAAAGATAATGTTTTTTTTAAATGATTATTCTATTATTGACATTATTATGAAAAACTATGTTTTACAATAATTGTTATTTACATAAAATAACAAATAGCATACTTTTTACACATTTATCAACAATAAATCTAAAATCGTTCCAGACGATTCAGATAATTATTTTGAGAATGTTTGAATAGAATGTTTTAGTACGATATTCATTTTACAAAAAATATATCATAAAAATAATCATACTACTGAATCGGCCTTATTGTTTGCATAATATATGATATGATCTTGAAAAATGATGATCATCTACTGTTACACTTTAAAGATTAAATTGATACTGAACATATTTTTAAAAATTATGGCGTTAATTTTGTGCTTTAAAACACTTCAGAATATATTAGTTTTTTGTTTGAGTTAGCTAATAAATGAACATTTTTATCAACTATCAAAAGAAAGAAACAAGCGCAAATTAGAAAAAATATTTTGGACATTTAATCAGTTTTAAACTATTCAAATATTTGATTAAGCATAACGCTTTTTATATGCAGATGTCATTTGTTCAAGAAATATAAAAGTGAGTACTGTATGAGGACCTAATCGAGCATAGTAAGGAATAAATCCTTTCCATAATGCAAAAATTCCTTCATTTTGCAATACTTTACCCAGAACATCTAAAGCACCAGTATATTCTGGTTTTCCATTTATCGTTTTCATATTTTGAATTCTAGTTTTTGCAATATCAACTGGCATTGAAGCCGCAGTTGTTACTAATCCTGAGATCATTGAACTTACCAAATGTAACATAATATTTTCTTCAAAGTAACCTAAGGAAATTGAATTAATTTATTGATTTAAAGTGAAAGGCGATTAACAATTTAATCATTCAAAGTTCATTGTGCTGTATAATTATTTACCAGTGTCGAGCAAAGCCTGTTTTGCTTGAGAATAAGATGCTAATTGAGCTGCATTAACTACCATTGCTCGTCCCATAGTTGGTATAGCGCCTCTCCAAAGTGTTAAAACACCTTCTTCTCGAACCATGCGAAAAAGTGCATCGAACACATTTTTATACATTCGTCTCTCCGCTATAAATTTTATAAAAAAAAAATGAATAAATATTGTGATGCAGTTTGACTCAAGTAAAATTCAACGGTCTAATTAAAAATGATTATATTTCTTAGTTTTTATTGTTAAAATATATGAATAAGATGAATACTATCTTATACAAAAAGCAAAATAAAATACACAAAATCTATATTATAAATGTTATTTTCTTTTCATAAATAATACTTTACCTAGAGGTAATCTACCATCGGCAGTCATCCTAATTAATGCAACTTCTGCTGGAGTTCCTACAAAAGCTCCTACACATCCTGCAGTCATTCCTAGAGCAGCTTTAACAATGAAACTTGGTTGTCCATCTTTCCTATGGAATGCAGTTTTTTAAAATTTCATCAAATTAATTTTTAAGTTAATGACTTACGATGCAAGCTCAAAAAGCCATGTGTAAACTCCTAATCGAGTAGTTGTGTATGTTGCCTGTCTTAATAATCCGGCAGACAGTCCTGAATACATAGCCAATATGCCTTCACTTTTAACGATTGATGATATTACACTTAAGGTCGATGTCTTTGTGCCACTCAACTGCATACGATTTTTAATTAAGTCCAAAGGTTGAACAAAACATGTTGCTGCCATTCTGTATAGAATTTTATTTTAATTAAGTAAAAAATTGAAAAAATTTATTCAATTAATGTTGATAGGAATATCATTTTATTTACCCAGATGTTCCACCAATTAGAAATTTAATGGCATTAGGAACTGTTTGCTCGCTTTTACTCATCGTTATAAATATAATTTGTTAACAATAAAAATTGAAACACCCTGGAAAATGATTATCCTCTTACGACGACGCACAAATGCCAAATGATAATTCGAAACAGCCGGGGCGCTATCAACCACTTGACGACAGAAAAAATAAAACAAAGCTTTACTTTCAATGACCTCCAAATGTCAAGTAGCCTTTATTGAAACAATTTGAAGTCACTAACAACACTGTTGAATGACGATGTAACGTATGTACCTAATCTTTTTAATTTTTGAGAAAAATATATAGGTCATTTCGTCAGCTGATTTGTTGACGATAGGCCAAATACACACAAATATAGGTGTGTATACAAATATTGTGCTTTGTATTTTCCCAGATAATTTTTTTTTCATCTTAAAGTCACTAGAAAGATTGTAACTTTACCCGTCTGGTAACAGTATTCTTCTACGCATATACATTTTTTATTGGTTTATTCTATAGAAATTCTGGAAGAATGAACTAATCAGATGTTCAGATTGAAATTTACACGCATACTTTCTGATCTGGTAATTTTTAAAATACGCGCGAAAATAATACGAATATACATATGATGCATGCAGTATGATTTAAAAGAGAACTAGCAAGATTACTCTAATAAGAATGTATAAAATGGTTGATGTATGAAAAACACTCTTTCATTACAATAACTAACATTTTAATTTACAATTTATTCTGAAAAAATTTTTATTGAAATGTATTGTATTGAAAATTACGTTATGATCGATATAATTTCATCTAGGGAGTTTTTTTGTCTTCAAGTTAACCGCATTGCCGCCCATGCCTGGAGAAAAGCCGGCAATCTAGAGCAATCTACTGAGCCTTGCTATACATATAATGTATGAGGTGAGGAAAACAGATTCTTTACAAGATTGTATCTCGGTAACAATTGTGATTCTAACATATTTCCTGCTGTCTTCAAATTTTTAGAAACAACTATGTCAGTCATTTATCATAGCGCAAGTAATAAGTTATCATTATAAGCTGTAACAACGTGTAGAAAAAATTTTTAGCGTCTAAGAGAATTGTTTTAATTAGTTGAGCAAATTTCATTAATTAATGAATAAATTATTAAAATTGAGTTATATTTTAAATTAATATATTTGCTTGTTTTTTTATAGCGAATTTTTTGAAAAATAAGACTTTCATTCAGCTCGGGTCACGTTTTTTATCAGCAATGGCACAAGATCTAAAAACTCATCAAGTTATTCCGGATGTAATTGATAACGTTCCACCATCTGTTCTCCAAGTAACATACCCTAATAATATCAAAGTTGAGATTGGCAAAGAGTTAACTCCAACTCAAGTAAAAGATAAACCACAAGTTCATTGGGATGCTGAAGCTGGAGCGTTTTACACTCTTTGCATGACTGGTAATCGATTTTAATTTAGTTAAATAAAAAGAAAAAAGCATGATAATATTGAGAATGAATTTTAGATCCTGATGCTCCTAGTCGTGCTGCTCCCAAGTTTCGCGAATGGCATCATTGGCTAGTTGGAAATATCCCAGGAAATAAAGTAGAAGAAGGAGAAGTGTTGTCAGATTATATTGGATCAGGACCACCACCAGATACTGGCTTGCATCGTTATGTTTTTCTTTTGTACAAACAACCTGGAAAATTAAGTTTTGATGAAAAACGTTTAACTAACAGAAGTGGAGAAAATCGTAATAATTTTGCAATTAGAAAATTTTCTCAGAAATACAAACTTGGTGACCCAATTGCTGGCAATATGTATCAGGCAGCTTGGGATGATTACGTTCCAATCCTTTATAAACAACTTGAAGGATAAATAAATAGATTAAATGATAAAACAAGGTCAAATAAGACATATTATGTGTAATACATAAAATTTAATAAATACTTTGATAATTAATTTTTTACTCAGCCTTTATTTACAATCAACAAAAATGAAAATTTTTTTTCAACAAATCTAATTGATGGTAGCTTATATGAATTAGTTTATCTTCTTAATATAACTATTGAAAATTGTTTTAGAAACAAAATTTATTGGACAAAATTAAATTCTAAACATAAAAAACTTTAACATCTTGTTATCTATATTTTATTGTAATGTATTTCGAACTAACCAGTGTTTGTAGATGTCCTTGTAGATTCATTGGTTCTTGCCTCTCCCAATCCACTAACGTTGAAATGAATGTCGATGCATCGAAAAAATCGTCACAAGGCTGTTGAAAGAGTTGAGAGAAAGATGAAGATTTTAGTTGCTGGTTAGAGTTAACGTATTTTTAACATATTTCCTTACTAACACTCCTAAGTTGGTTTTTATATTTAAATTGAGTTTGGAATTTTCATTGCATATTTTCATCGAGTCAAAATTTTGGTTGCAGTTTTGTTTGTCGGAGTCATAGGAGTTGTTCTAGCAGATGTCAAGACAGTGTTTGAAGAAGCAAAAATCGTTTCTGATATTTTAGATAGTGCGCCAACAAAAGAAATTGAAGTGAGTTACAAAACATTTTTCTTACCATGAAATAACATCAGATTTCTCATTTTTTATCTGTGTGAAAATATAATTAACATGACAAATTATTCATATTTCGGATATTTGTTTACTAATTAAGTTTAAAAATTAAATGTAATAATATTATTTATAGGTGAAATATGGTGAGCAAAAAGTAAATTTAGGCAATGAATTTAAACCAACAATAACTAAGGATATTCCTGAAGTACATTATGAGCATGAAGGTGGAGTTTTATATACATTAGTTTTAACAGGTAAATTTTTTAAGTAAATAATTTTTACGTTATATTATTGGAAGGTTCTTTCTAGAATGTAAATTCTATTGAAGTCCATCATTAGAAAAAATGATTACATGACTAACTTTCTCTTATTTCAAAACCTGTTTTACGTATACATATATATCCCCATTGATTTTATTAAACATAGAATGACAAATCCAATAAAATCTATAGATCCCGATGCACCAACCAGAGGATATAATCGTGAATTTCAACATTGGCTAGTGGGAAATATTCCAGAAGATAAAGTAGCTAAAGGTGAAGTTCTAACAGAATATGTAGGACCTGCCCCACCAAAAGGCTCAGGCAAACATCGGTATATTTTTCTATTATACAAACAAAACCAAGGAGCAATTACATTCGATGAACGCCGTATTGGAAATCGTGATAAAAGACGTAATAGATTTTCAATTAAAAAATTTGCTCAAAAATATAATCTTGAAGGGCCTATTGCTGGAAACTTTTTCAGAGCTGAGTATGATGATTATGTATCAACTATTCATCGTCAATTAGGGTTTTAAACAAAACTAACACATTAATGCAACATAAGTATTATAATAATTGATACCATTGAACTGCTATTGTTCAAAATGTGCAAAATGTTCAATTCAGAGCAAAATTCTTGTCTAATTAATAAAAACATATTTGTATATTATCTTATTCTGAAATAAATTTTTTTCATCTTTTTAATGTATCTAATTAAATACAATTTATCTTCTCCAATCATAATCTAGTTCCATTAAAATGCACCAGCATAACTATTAGTAGATAAATAAGCACGTAGATGGTTAAAATAATTATAGTTTCCAACTGGCTTTGTAAAACAAAAACAAAATCTAATTTATATTTATACAGAGACGGTGTAAATGTTAAATTATGGTTAAAAGTTTTGTTTCATCAAAAGTGTTGAAAGAATCATCCAATTTTTTAATTAAGGGTGAAGTGTTATCAATACTTTGGTTATAAAACAATATATTATTAATATTGATTATCTATTAACTTGATATTTTTATGATAGTCTTTGTAATAGGAGTTATTAACATCACTATGTCAGATATTGAAAGTGCATTTGAAAAATTTGTATAGTTCTTGATATTGTGGATAATGCTCCATTAAAAGAAATTAAAGTAAGTTGAGAACTTGGATATAAGACAACCTTTATTATAAAAAAATTTTCATTAATAGAATTCAGAGACAAAATGAAATGAACAAAAAGCAACTTTGGAAAAAGCAAAGCTTTACTACGGCATTTACAAAAGATCTTCCAGAAGTTTTTTATAAATATAAAATGGAGCATTTCATACGTTAGTTTTTATAAGAAAAATTTTCAATTTATTTTTCGTTTGAAAATAACGAGGAAGAATACAATTTTGTCATAATTCACATTCAAATTATTGCGATTAAATAAAATATAAATGCTGTAAAAAATTAAAAATACCCTGAATATACCAACGTAAGGAGGTGCTGCTGAAGTTCGACATTGGTAGATACTAAATATTTTAGAAAATAAAGTAATGGAAGGTAAAATTCTTACAGATTATTTAGGTCTTTAGATTATTATAAATAATTTTATAAAATGAAAAAACTAAAACTTTCTAAAGGAACATTAGTTTTTTTTCAATATAAAATGATACTATTAATAATTAATTTATCCTTTGGTGTAGCAACTTTAATATACATATATCACTTATTCTATTTTTGTTATTAAATATTTTTGTATACTAATAATATCATCATTTTTTTAATTAAATAAATTAATTATCGTTATTATCACCATTACTCTTTCTCCATTGTTGAAAAAATCTGCTCTTAATTTATAAAGTAAGTAATGTTACACAATTTTCTGTATTCGATATGGGATAAACTATTTTTTTGTATGATTTTACAAAAAACAACTAAATATAAATAACAACAACAATGCAAGTGCGTTCGTTACAATTTTATAAATACAAATGCCATCCTGCAATAATTCAATAATATTAAACAATAATTTTTACAAATGTAAGTGGTCTAAATTTTTTTGTTTATTAATTTGTAGACAATTATTTTTATGGAAATGGATATTTCAATAAATATCTCTTTGGTTTTAAACGATTTTGTCTTTTGAACAGAATATGAAATTAAATAATTATAGATATATTTTTAAGTATAATTTCATTGGATCTTTTGCAATAGATTCATAGTATCATGAAAAAAAAACAAAAATATGTTATTAATAGTTTTATGAAATATGAATTTGTTCGATAATAAACTTAACCCTTTTTTTAACGAATTCATTTTTTATCTTGAATTGAGTTATGCATAAGTAAATTTTTTTTAATAAAAAATACTTTCTATATAATTACAGTATTTTCAAATAGACTATTAAATAAAAATTTTCTAGTTTTCATTATTTTAACGAATCAAATGACTAGAATCAAATTTATGGCATATTTTTTTGAGAATTTAAAATTCTTATAATAATAATTATTGAGCTCTCCTACAAAATAATGAATTTTTTTGCATAATCATCAATTATTCCTATAATATCATCACATTTAGTTACTCCTAAAAAAATCCTAGCAACGTTAACTTTTTTTATAGCACTTGTGCGTTAATTTTTATGATAAAGAATTGTATTATAACCCTGATAAAAATAATAATTTGTTGAAAAAACATAAGAATTTATAGTTTTAATTAAATAATCAGTCAAAAATTATTTATACAAAACTCATAGTCTTTATCTGAAATATTTCCCTCTCCTAAATATTTTCATAATACGTAATCTGAATTTACTGTCATATTCCGGCAAAGTTCATGATCACGTATATCACCCCATCCACCATTACCTTTCCTCAATTTGTTTTTTTTTGTAACTCCAGCGATAGTTAAAGTCAATTCTGAAGGAAACATATGAGCACGAGCTGACTTGAGAACTTGTTGCACTTTAGCAATCACAGCCGTGGATTCGCAATTATTTTTCTTATGATGAACACCACTGTTTATTTATAAATATCTTTATTTAAGTATATTTAAAAAAATTAATGCTCGCTATTATATACTAAAAGAAAAAATTTTTAGCATCAAGTCAATATGTGGTAGTTAGATGATCAAATAAATAATTATTTATGCTGAATAAATGATTAATTAAATAAAATATTTCATTTCTGTTTAGTAAATTATTTACTTAGCACTATTGATTATTTACTTGATCCTAAAGTAGTCATATACCTATTTGATGGTTTCATTTTTTTCTTTTAGTGAATTAGGCAACCAGGTAAATATTTATTTTTAATAGAAATATCTATTTACTTATTTTATTTTTGCTGTTGCCTTACAGAATAGCTCTCATTATATTTTTTTTTAAATAAAATAATAACAATAACAATAAAAAATTTACCATTCTCCGATATGAAAAACTCTAGGAGCTCTCATCATCATAGTTATAAGTCCAGATTCAATTCTAGGAGCAGCTCCAGCACCTCTACTTGGTGGAAGACACGTTTGTGCCACATATTGGAGACTCCAATCCCAATTATAATCATCATAAGAACAAAATTGGGATGCACACTTCCGTAATTTATTCCATGTTACTCGATTGAACGCCATTCCCATATTATGCTTGCTTGAAATCCAAGGAATGACTTCTGCCTATTTAAATTTAAAAAAAACAAGTTAACACATTGATTGTTACACTAAATAATTGTTGTAATAAATTTTTGTAATTTATGTTATTATTCTTAACTAATCAAATTTTATTATTATTATTATTATTATTATTAAATAATGTAAAGTTCGCATGCAATTTATTGCAGTTCCTGCTGCAAGATCAGATGAATTATAATAATAAAATGCTAATTAAACTAAATAAAACGTGTAATAGACAATAAAAAAAATTTTAATCTGACCTTGAGGCAGTGCGAAATCTTGGAGTAAAATTAAAAAAATCAAGCATTCTTGTAATATGACTACCATTCATATAGTACATCATGGATAATTGAAAATGATACATATAAATTAATCTAATAACATATTAAGAGGCAATCACGACCAACTACGAAGCTCAAGTAAAAGAAGAACAGATCATGCGTTGGGTCACATTTCATATAGAATCTTATAATTCATACCTATAGACAAATAATTTGAGAAATAAATATAATTATATTTATGTACATTAAGAGAAAAGAAGATCATCACAAATAAAATATCAGCCATCAATAGATCATAATTTTTTAATTAAAAAATAATGATTTTACGCTATTCTTTACAATAAATATATTTTATCATACCCACGCGGAAAGTTCACTTTTCCATTAAAATAGGATTGAACTTTCTACGCAGGTATGACGAAAGATCATATTCAGCCCTAAGGAGGACAATTAGACTAGCTTAAATCACGTGCTTACTACCCTCACTTTCAGCTCGGGTTGTAATTTTACACGTGGTTTGAGCTAGACTACTTTCCCTTCCTAGGTGTGAAATGTACTATTTCTGACTATGAGGTACTAGGACTAAATATTTTTCTCTCCGAATGTACTGAGGATAAATATATTAAGCAATTGAATGTAAACTTTCGGTGATTATAACGACGAAAATTAGTAAATATAATAAACCAACTACAAATTTCGTATGCACACCTTAAATAGCATTTAAGGACTTATAACGTCATCATTATCATTGTTAACATTTCCTGTTGTTATTAACATTTATTTAATATATGCATATTTATTGTTTGATAAAAAGAAAAATATCTTAATTAAATTGTTGCATTAATAGAACAAATCAAAAACCAATGTATGCTCTTTTTTTTGAAGTCTGTTTTAAAAATTGATTAGTTAGATTTTATCATCAAAAGATGTGCATATTTTACTTAGATATGGGCTTTACATATCTACAAAATTTTAAAAAATCTCAAGGCTGAACATTGACGACAGAAGTGAGGGTAGACCTTCTGATAGTGACTGTAGAGAGATGGTAAAAGTTGAAAGGACCATGTTGTCATCTTGCTATTAAGAATAACTGAATCACTGGATTGACGTAGTTGTTGCTGTTGTTGTTGCATTAGGCCGCCATGTCTTTCTAAGCCACGGATGAGTTCCTTTTGTAGTGCTCCGTTGACACCAAGATACTGAGGCATTGATATGGTGCGTGTGATAGGTTATTAAGATCAAGATTGTGAGATTGCATTAAAGCATCAAAGGTTCTAAATTGAGCTAATGCTATTCTTGATTGCTGTTACGTGATTTATCTGATCCGATGATTGATTGAGCCAAGATTTCGCGATAAATGCGCGATTTGAATAATCGTAATAGTTGCTATTGCATTCAAAGCTTTTCTTAAATGCCTGAATACATTCATTTTGTTCTTACTCAAATATGTACATGTTTTATCCTTTATATTATTCATAGATTATATGCTATTAACAATGAATTGAAAGAAAATGAAATTATAATGTAATAGTAGCAATGATTTAGTAATGAAATTATTGTTAGTTCAAAAATTATAAAAATTACTAGGCTGTGTAGAAAAACATTGTCGATAATTGTTTTATATGAGTTTTAATATTTCTTTTGATAAATATTATATGAAAGAATTCATTATTTCATAAATTAATGATTTATAATGCATTACTAGTTGGGTATATCTTTTTTTAGAGTTATAATTGACAATGACTAATTCTAACTCAATTTTTTTTCTGCTAAAAGATTAAATTTAAAATACATTTTTGATTAAAGGGAAGTTTTTATTGTAAGTTTTGCCAGTAAAAAAATAGTAAATATGAATGTATTCAGATTTGTTGGAATAAAAAAACTGTAAATAAAATGAAATTACCTTTTTACTTAAATCTGCATAGTAATTGTAAGTTTTTAGGTAAGTGCCTAAAGATAGAACATTACAACGTTCACAGCTATGTTTACACGTTTGTTCCATGAGCTTTAAAACATGAAGAAAATCTTCAGCAACGTAATGATCTTCTTCAAGGAATAAAACCATTCCTGTATGATTTCGTGTGACATTTAGCTGATCAAAAACGCGATTTGCCTTCCACCACCAGTGATGTTTAGTTTGTGTGAATTTCGCTTCACGGTAGTGTCCGTAAAGGTCTGGATGTTGAGCATTAATACATTTTAAGGCCAAAGCTCTGAAAATAATTGAGTGAAAAATGTTAATTGAGTCCATAAATGTACTTAAAAAAAATTTTTTTATTTTTTTAATAATTATTAAACAGTTAATTTCTTCATTTATTATTGGAATTAGTTGAACCATTTTTGTCGATTTATCTACATTGTTAGAAATTCTAACCGTCTGGTTTGTAGCGACCATATCTGTTAAGAACTTTTCAAATTTTTCGTTTTTCTATTTTAAAATTAATTATTTGAATCAAATTATTTAATGAATTATCAATGGACTTTGATGTAGTATATTGAAAAACTTACTGATCTTTGTCAATATTTCGAGGACAGTCATTTGGATCTTCACCTGGGAAGATGTGAGGATGAGTTTGAATGCTATAAGGATAAAATATTTGCATCACCCGACAAAAATCTACACTTTGAATAAGATAATTGATATCTGGATGCCAGACATCATGACTAAATATTAGTAGAACGTGCTCGATTCCTTTAGCTTGAGCTAAAGATACTATTAAATGCCTCAAGTATGTAAGTCTTGAATGCACTTGAACAACAATAATCGGTGCATCTGAAGGAAGAGGGCCAAAAATTTCTTCATTATATATTTTTTGTTCAGAATTTAATCTTTTTATACTTTTTTGAATTTGTGAAATGTTTAATACTCCAAAAGCTCCAAAAGTTCCATTAAAATTTTGGCCTGAGGAATTTCCACGGTCTTTAAGAAATCTGAAATTTTTTATTCTTAATTAATTACGATTAATTGTTATACATGTTAACAAATATATCATGTAATCTTAACACAATTCCATTATTTTTTATTATCATAAATTTTGAAGTAAAATATTTTAGTAATTATATGTTAATACGTTTCAATATTTATTTCATCATTTGTGAAACACGAGTAATATTTACATTTCCAATGAATGCATACAAAGCTTATAAACTCATGTCAAATTAACATATGCGCACATGAGAAACCGAAATTTGGATAAATAATTTAATAAATAGATATACATAGAGCATAATAACTTCCTCTACCAGAGAATTAATAAATCTAAATTGATTTAAAATGATTTAAGTAATCAAAGTATAAAAAAAATCTTGACTAATATGAATCAAATTTAAATTAATTTATTTTAGTTTAGAATCGGAATAATATTTCCATATTCAATTCGGTAAGTCAAATAATTTATTCTCTTATTGATTTATGATTTGTTAAAGATTTGGAACACCAATTGATAATTATTCAAACTTATTAAATATTAGATATTTATAGACTTATGTAATTGGAAATTTGACATAATGGAATTCTCAGTAAGAATGAATTACCTTTGTAACTCTTGGGGTACAAGAGCGTAGATACTTTCGTTTATCAATGGTTGGCTTAATGAATTACGACCAGTTAAACTGATAACATGCAATTGAAGCCATAAAAATGTCGCCAAAAATACAAATGCTAATGTTCTCAGGAGTGTTCCACGTCCTGATCTTACTCCTCCAACTACTGTAACTCCTATTACATATAAAATTACAATACAATCAATTTTATTTAATTATTGAAAAATGATAAATAAAAAGTATTAAAAATAGTAATATAATTTATCGTTATAGTTGTTAAATAGTGTGTGTTAATCTAGCATCTGCGTTGATTTGAAAAAAGCACGTACAAAAAAAAATATAAAATTAGAGAATTAAGAGAAAAAATTAAATTACCTCGTACACATCCGGATTTTTTTCTTGTGTGAATTGAAGAAACAGAGTAAGGTTTAACGAGTCCACGTTCCACGTAGGACGTGTTCGGTTTTCCTATGTAGAAATAAATAAAATAAAACAAAGTAAAATAAAAAATACTTATTCAAATTATTATAGAGTGATAAAAGAGTAATGGTTCTACATAGGTAAGAAATTATTAAATATTCTAAGGTGTATAAAAGCATGTATGTAATAGTGAGTATTAAATTACAGGTTGTTACGAATGAAATTTAAATAATGGGGAACAAAATAAACAATGAGAATAACTGATAATTAAGTACTGATATGCCATATACTGGTAGCCTACGCTGCAAAGTTATTCTAGGGTGATATTGTGTTTAATAATAAAGTTCGATTGTGATGATTAATTATCAATAATTAGACACTAAATTATTACTCACCTCTCATACTGGCATATCGAGTTGATGTTTCTGAAATAAATGAAAAATATAAATTTAACCTTTCGTTAAATAAAAAATAACCAATAAGTGACTAACACATGGCCGAGGTCACTAGCGATTGCCGTCAGATGAGGAAAGAATGAAAATAAATTTTTTTGATCTTCTGCCAAAAGAAATTGTACGAATTTCAAGAAGATACTGTCACGATAATAATTTTTTCACAGCTGTATAATCGTCAATGAATAATTATGTCAAAAAGTGTCGGTCAAGTGTTTCTTATTTATTGATTTATTATTTATGATAATTTATTTTGATCAATGACAAATTATTTTCATTTTTACACTGTTTCCGTTTATCATTAACAATATGTCCGTGATCCTTTTTTCAATTTTATTGATTTACATTATGGTAATTTTTGTGTAATTGCCATATATATTTGCAGTCTTTGACAATTTCCTATTAAATTGAAAAATATACGATATGTGAGTTTGATGAATTTTTCATGAAGTTATTTTATAATAAGAATGTACATCAATGTTTATGTTAATAATTTATGATAGAATAATTATTAGAGCTAAGGAAAAATATTTATTTATGAACTACTTATCAAATAGCGGAATAGAATAATAAACAATCATTGACTGAGTAATAATACCCTTTGTTTACTACTTATGCTAAAAATAATGAAAATTCGATTAGCCATATAATATAACTGAGTTTAAAATGGAGAACAGTATTTAAAGATGTGTGATGAAGAAAAAACGAATTTTTTTTGTTGTTTTTTTTAAAGAGAAAAGCAATAAATAAGAAACTTTTTTGTCAAACATATTGGACTCAGAATATTTGAGAAAATAAAATTAATTTAATCGTCATTTTTCTTGGTTTTTTTGATCAAATATTTTTAAAAAGCCACGATCAAGTAGTGATGTTGCTTACCGAATAGTTGCAATTTATTTTCTTTAAGCTTTTCCATATTTTTGTTTACTTCACAATACTACAAAAACTTCAAAACTTCTTTAAAAATATCGTCATGATCGTCATGATACTTATATCACTTGAGTATTGATCATGACAAAGTTAGTTTGGCATCTTGACAATTAAATTAAATCACGATTATTAAATGTAAATTATAGAGATTAAATTATTTTAAATAATTCCAATAAAAGGATATTACAAATTTGGTATAATAAATCTAATTAGCAGTATATGAGGCTGATTTAAGTAAATCTAAAAAAGTGAAAGCACAAACTGATTGTTTTTTGTTATGCTATGAAATATTAGATTTATTTTTCAAGATCCTTGTCAACGTGTACTCGTTAGATGCTAAATAGGTAACCGGAATGATGTAAAGACTTGTTCAGTCTATTTTGCACTGAATAAAGACTTTACCATCATCTAATGCTGAACGAGTGGGAGTCTGTAGAGATCTATTAGTGGTAAGAGTTCACGTGGCGTTCATAGTCCACGTGGATTGGAGGATTATTTGTGTGTAGTGGGATTGTAAAACATTTTTGTACTTGCAAAATATGATAAATCATTACATGATAATTTATTAAGTCCATCTTACTAATTGTTATTTAATTGAAATAACGATCCTTGTCGATAATTAGATTTTTTTCAAAATTGCTCAAGGAGTGTAATACTTTCAACTTATTATATTACTTTTGTTTTGAACATATTGAAATAATTATCTAATTAAAATTCATGAAATTAATTGATTTAATGAATAAAAGAATTAATCTTTCAGCTTAAAATGATTGGTTATTTTAATTTCTGTAAGAGCATAGTCTTGCCTTTTTTGGAAGCGATACTTTTATTTATTACCAAATACTCTTAATTATTTATTTTGTTAAATATTGAATAAAGGAAAGTTATTTTTGCAAGCTACTTGCATTCTTGAAGATATATTTAAAATGTTAGATTTTATTTTGAAAACTGTTAAAAATTTTACAAATATATTTTATCTAGTTTACTTCTATCTGATAAGTATTAGAAATTTTAAAAATTTAAATAAAAATAACTATTTATTTTTTTATGTATAATGTCAATAAATATTTATTTAAGTGATAGTTACTTTTTTATTGAAATCGTAAAAGTATTTTATAAAAATATTGATTTTTACTTATAATCTACTCTTAAAAAATTTTTTTCATTTTTTTTTTAAAGTCAGTTTCGTAGTTAAACAATCATAAAACATCAATCATAATTTTGCAAATAATTTCATACGCCTATTTTTTGTTAAAGCCAATTATATCTCTTAATAATTTCGTTGCAGATTAATAAAATATTCGAGCATTGATTTGCTAGTGTTTTCAGGATGCCAAAATCATTGAAAACATGAGAATGTGCACTTTGCCCTTTCATCAAGTTATTTGATCAGTGAAATATGCTTTAGAATCATAAGATTATTGATCGTGGAAAAAACTAAAGGTTTATCTAAGATCTTCATTGATCTTCTATGTATGTATAAATATTAATGTTCATTTATAAAGAACCATTCTTTACGTTTAATAACGAAAGAGGCTTTTTAGTAGTAGCCTTGTCTATGTCAGCTTCTTTTATCAATTGATGATCGACAAGCAGTCTTATCCTAAAAAGCATCTTTTGTTTTTTTCGGCATTGTTTTTTTGCCGCAATACGACATTATTGAGCTACTTGAACTTTTTTGATTTTGTTAGTTGCAAGAAAATGTATAGCAGATTCTAGTCGCATTGAAATTCAGCCGACGCAAGATATTGCAATTGGAGATGATCCAAACGTGAGAATAAGTGTAGGCGTTTGAAAAAAATACATCCTGCTAACTAAGCCTTCAAAACATAGTGGAAAGTGATTGGCTAATTTAACTTTCGTTGTGTAATCAGATAGTTTTATTTTCACCTTGATATATTTTGTTAATAAATTAGCACCACTAAATATTTTACTGTTGGAAAAAATGTTACTCAATTATTCATTGTTTTTATCAGCTTGTTTTGTGCTTTGAGATGATTAAAATCTCCATTCATGTTTCGTGATGTTTTTTGAAATTAATGATTCATATTTACTCTAATATAGAGTTCTCTTTGAATATGAATGTAAGGAGATTTTTTTTAGTTATAACTGGGTGGCAGTTTATACCATATTATCATTAGTATTTGACACTATCATCATCTGAACATTCTACAGTTTAAATAATCTGTGGGCGTGTTATTTTATCATTAAAAATTCAAAAGATAACAGAGATGAAAAATGACATTTTTTAAGCTAAGATATTAACTTAAATATATTTTGCTTTCCTTTTAGAACATTGTACTTGCTGTGAACGACTAGGTCGAACATTACTACAATATGAAAATTAGTTTTTTTAAGAGAAAAAAATAACTCTTCATGTTAGTATAAATATAAATATTTTTTAATTTCAAAGTGATTTATTTGATTTTCATTCATGCTTGATTAAAATTCACACTTGACAATTCTTTGATATAACTTGCTCTAGGTTTTATTATAGAAATATTCAAAAGTTTAACGTTGATGTTGATCAATAATAAAATACGTTTAAATAACAAATAGTGATAAATTTTTAATATATTAATAATATTTCTAGTAAAAAATAATTTACCAGTGAAACAATGTATTTTTGGGAAACCATGTGGGAAATAGTGTTGACATTTCTATTAAGTAAAATCAATAATAAATATAAACGGTTTAACACGTTTGAAAAGTATATCTGAAATGAAATTGTACAGGAATAAATTAATAACAGATTAAAGAAAAAGATTTCATATTTTTAAATATAAAATATAATATTGATAATTCACTGCAGCAATTACTACGAATCTCGATAAATAAGCATGAATAGGAATAGTAAATTTCATAAATATGATCTTTCATTATATCTGATGTAATAAGCTCAATTAGTTTATATGGCTATATCTATAAATATTATTGTCAAAATAAAAACTTCAACTTGCTTAATATATTTTTCAATGTGATATTCGAGATTGATTGGATTGGTCGACAGAACGGGATAAATTTTAGTAAAATTGCAAGTGTAATACGGAAACTCATTTCTGACTGTGATGGCCTCGGAAATAGATAGTTACGAAAATTCCATAAAAAAATGTCCTGTGTATTTTGCAGTGAAACTAAAAAAAAACTCCATAAGAATTATTGTTTAAAAATTAATAGTCTATAAGAATTAACACTCAATACTTTTTACATATATGCGTAAATTAATATACTTGAATTGACAACATATCGTCAAGGGTAACTGCTTTTAATTTTTTTCAGAAAAGTAGAGATTTCTATCTAATGAAAATATTCAAAATAAAAGTTTGTTCAATTTTATATTATTCTAAATAAATTGCTATCTTTAATAAATAATATATAACATTTGTAAAGAAAATTGCAATGATTATACGGTTATTTAAATACATGAAAAGATATTAATAACACATAAAGTTTCTATTGGTTTAACTACACGAACTGTTCGATAAATCGATTGTTTTCCTAGATACTTATTGTATATTACATTCATTTTTAATACGTCCTTGTTTGGGTACTTGGATAATCGATTTCTCGTCTGTTTCGTCTTTGTAGAATTAAATTGTTTTTTATTGTACTTAAATTTAGGGGAATATTTTACAATTTTTATTGAAATAAAGATAGCGTGATTGACGTGAATATAATAAACTGTTAAGTTACTGTGTTAAATTATGTTAGAGATGAATAATGTGGTGCAAGCAAAAATGGCATACTATTCGATAGATAATGAGGAAGAGCCTAATTTATAACAGTAATTATATAATTTTTATCTTGATTTTTTCTGAGCTGAAATGATAAATATCTCACTATAAACTAAGAAAAAAATATTCACATTTAATTTGTATAATTTGATGGTATTAGAAAGTTTCTTTAAGAAGAATTTTAAATAAAAAGTCACAGAAGTGAACTAAAGTAGCACAAAGGTACTAGCACAAATAATGAGACTATACCCTAGTAAAACAATTTGATGGTGTTACTTTAATTAAATATTTGTTGACAGTTAAATTTGGAATGTTCTTTAGAAAATATGTGTATAAATTATCTTGATGTTCTGTTTATTGAATTTTATTAATGTTTATCTAAACATTTGATGATATCCATTTAGTGTCATTTAATTGCACTAAATTCTTATAACTTACGAATTAGCCTGCACAATCACGACGAGTCTTGAATTGAACAGACATGCCGCAGAGAAATTCTAGCTATTGTCATCAAAATCTTGTGAATACAACATTGCATTTTGATTGAACACTGATATAATGAGCTATTAATAACTAGCTCTTACATGAGTTATGAAAAAAACACGGTTATCTGTTATGTGGAAAGAAAATTAAAGGAATACACACACATAACTTATGAATCTACATTACAAATGAACTAGTGGCTGGTTAGATGCTCCCCCAATCGACTCCACCCTCGCTAAAATAAAAGCTTATACCTACGCCATCTCTCGTAACAAATCCAATTTTATCGACTAATGATATATTCAAATAAACAAAAGGTACAAAAATACAAAAGATACCTTAGTATTCTTGGCTGTAGGTATAACGAATTGTATGCTTATCGAAACATCTGATGGTACAATAATAAATGCTCGCTACAATATCGGTAAGTTTCAAAAAGCGGTTTTTTTTAAGATATAAGGGAATTTTTTCTATAAAGATAGAAATCGATTTTTTCTGCTATAAATCTTTTGAATATTTAGAAACACAATAATGTTCATGATAGAATAAAGTAAGGAATTTAGGGTAAAAATGTACCTGAACAGTTGTAAATAAGGATTTAAATGGGGAAATCATTTGAAACATAAAAGTACTATGAAAAAGTCAAAGTTTTCTTTCAAAGTTTTGGTAATTTATAATTAGATTTGTACATCTTCGTTCCAAAGAAAACTAGTTTCGTCTATTTTAAAGTATCTTTACGTGATTTTTAAAGTTTTCAGCGGATTTTCCCATTTTAATTCTCATTTAAGAGAGTTCAGGTACATTATTGCCCTACATTTCTGCCTTTATTCTATCATAGATTTTATTGCATTCTCTAAGGTTGGCAAGGCAATTATAATTGTCAAAGGCTAAAGTTTGACCACTTAGACTGAAAAATATAAGATAAAGAGAAAGTTAGTCATTTCCAGAAAAGTGCTTCGTCACTGTTACTCTAAACCGTTGATTTAAAATATTATATATTAAAATTCGAAAAATCGGAAATTGAATTTAAGTGAAAAATAATTATTATAAAAAAAATTTTTTTTTTTAATTGATCTCATATTGGTGCGTTGGTAATGCTTTACCATGTGCACTGTTCTAATCATTGATCATTATTAAGATTTAGTACGCGTGACGCTAATCTGCTCAAAACATTAAAAAATCTAATTTTTATCGCCGTCGTTTGGCTGATGGAGGCAAGCAATCCTCCCAATTCTCGTTAAATTTAAATTTACTAATATAATTTATTAAAAA